GCATAAAATCTGTACTATTGATTTTTACTATAATACCTCGCATATGTTTGATTAATTAGTATATGAAATACCCCAATTATACATGTATATGTATCATCCAGACATAGTAAAACATATTGTCTCAATACGGTGTACCCCCCGTATAGAGGTACCCCAGGTACAGATTTGAGAAATGAAAATACTCGGGGCACACGTGTCCGACTTTTACGGTATATCTTATTCAAATAAATTATGTTTATTCATATTAGCCATTCTGGGTATATTGACCTGAATAATTCGAATAATATTCGTCAAAAATTAGTAGGCACTACGCGCGTACTTTAGTATAACAAAACATACTTCATGTTTGTGTACGCTTGTATAATATAATAAGATTCCGTATTAGATATAATTTAGAAACAGCTACAGATTATGCCGTAACTATTTAAAGCTTATGTCGTAACTAAATTATGGCTACTGCATATCTATTCGGTATAAGTACACCAAAAATTGAATTTCTTTGTATAATCTCTGTCTGACCCTAATCTTAACAAACAATCCTAATACGATGTTTAGTTTTAACCCTAACTTGACTATAACATTGAGTTGGAATCAAGTTTATTTTTAAAGTTAAAATGTATATTACTAAACTATATAATAGTTTTATCAGAACAACATGGCAATTTAATAATAATCGGGCAAAGTCTATCAATAGATACAAACATTTGTCATGGGCATACCGCTAATAGCATAAAAAAGTCATAATACGAGAACTACTTCAAAATAAGATCTGTTTGTAATCCAAGTACTTACAGTATATGTTAATTATTAGATAACATCTATGGATTCATATGTTGTTATGAATGAAGGTATGTGCATAGTACCTGGTTATTTGAAGTAAAGTTTGAGGTATTAATATGATTAACATGGAGAACAAAATTAAAAAAAAAATAAGAATTTGTAATATTGCCTTATCAGCTGGAGTAGGTTCAATCTCCAAATCTTTTAAATTCAAAATTCCTTCCATATTCGAAACAATGTTATCTTTCTTAAGCAATTTTATTTGATCACGTGTGATAGTAAACAAATTCTTTGGCAGCTTTTCAAGAAAATATCCTTGAATAAGCCCAATTTGCCATGGTAGGGAGATAATTGGACGTTTTATTCCTGCCTCGGATAATGTTAGTTGCATGAGTTCTTTGTATGTATACACTAAGTTTTTAAGATAGAGTTTTGAGTGATGTAGAAAGATACATCCAATGATATTATTTATATTTGATTCCTTATTACCCTTTGGACCACCAATTTCAAAGATTTTTTCTTGAAACTTGAGAGATTGATTGCTTGCTTTAGCAACAGCCGACGCAAAATCCCATACATAAACAGGTTGAAACTTTGTAGACCCACCACCAAAAATTGGTACGAATGGCAACATTCTAGCTAATTTTGAGAATCTCTGTTAATTTATATATAAATAGAGAAAGTTAATTTAGCAAGAATAATTATTTAACCTGTAAATAATATATGCAAACATTATAACTGTACATTAAAGAAATCGTCTTCGGGTCCAAAAACAATGCTTGGTCTTATAATAGTTGCTCTTGGGTATATTTCATGTATTGCAATCTCACCCAACCCTAAGTTTAAAAATTCAATATACTGATCATAAATTCTCAATTCAACCCCATATTTCTAACCTTTAGTTCTAGCATAAGGAACTTCGCTATTAGGATCTGCACCAATAGCGCTAATATGAACCAATTGTGCATCATTTTGTTTGGCAGCTATCGCAACATTTTTTGCGCCCAAGTGCTGAACGTTTTCAAATGTATATTTTGGAGGATTTTCATACATTATCCCAACTAAATTTATGATTATATTGGCGCCTTCACATGTTTTTAGAATGTCATCTTGAGAAGTTATATAAAGGGATACAAACTGATAAAAGGCAGTGTAAACTTATAATAAGTCCCTGTGTAAATCCAGTAGACTAGTCCCAAATAGAAACCCACTTGGCAAGTTCTGAGTAAAGAGGTAGCACATACTTTCGACAGTTCTAGAAAATTTAAGAAGAGAACTAATAAGCTGTAAATTTGAACAAGGACCGGGTGTTTGGTGAGCACTATACTAACCAGGCCACCAGAATCAATCAGAGAAAAAGGGCACAAGCCGATATCCAAATTAAGCTAGTAGAAAAATGGGTAATGCAACTTGTAGTCAAACCAGGCTATTTGGATTGAAAGTTTGATGAAACAGTGAGAAGGTTTCTAATTGGATGAGTATCGGAGCTGGGGTATGAGTAAACTTTATAAAGGCAGAAGTAGGTAATGGTAGCAGCTTCAGCTCTCAAGTACTTGTTCTTGGACTAGGTATAAGTTACTGAAGTCTAGATTAGCCTAAATGTAGATATAGAAGGCTCTAGCAGAATTACTTCAAGGTCAAAGGACTCTCTAAATTAATAGAAACTGCTTTAAAGCCCTAAGCCAGCATGTGAAAATAAGGTGATATTAAGTATCATCGCTTAGATATAAAAGATTTGATATATAAATGCAGAGAGTTTAAATGGGTAACTCCTTAGTTGAGATGCAGATATAGCATCTAGTGTAGAACTTAGTAATAAGTAGATATTTAAATAGGTGCTTAAAAGGTGCAGATATAGCTAGTTATACTCTACAAATATGTATAGCTGTCAGAATGTTCTGATAATTAAAAATACTACTAATATTCAAATAAAGAGCAGCATGGCAAAGAGGTCACCTTAAAACCAAAAAATATAATAATAATATGATTGGGCAACTTTATACAGTATATATGTATAAGGTATATTTGATATGATATATATATTATATATTTATATATATATATACCAGATATATATATACATACATATATATTAGATTAAACTTGTTAAATTACAATAGCCTATATCTAGTTCCTATTTATATATACTTTAAAGTTTCATATATACAAAATTAACAAAGAAAACTTTAACAATAGCAGTATTGTTGTTTTATTTTCTTTTTAAACTTCAAATACATATTATACTGAAACAATAGATGTTATTAAGAGTATAAAAATCAAGGCAATTTTAAGCTTTTTTTTAGTTTTTAATCTAAAATTTTTTAACCCACTTGAATATTCTTCATGATATATAAATATTACAATAAATTACCTCTGAACTATATAAATGTCTATATTTTCAGCTATGATTTGAATAAGACAATTATCAATTTAGTTCTTATAATAATAAAATCATTTATCTAAAATATGATTAATCTACTATTATGAATATAGTTATACTTACCTAAATTGTATAGGTATTAGCTTTTTTTTTGGATATCAAGGATCTTATTCTATTAGCTTGGTTGTAATACTTCAATTTATATAGTTTTAGAACAAAACATTTATGAATATTATTTTACTTATGAATATAATTTCACTATATAATGCAGTATACATAAAACAGTAATATAGTTATACTTAATATTTTAATTTCCTGACTTTTGTCAACTTAAAAAAAAATTATATAATTTTTTTTTGTATACTATATCAGCAATAAATATACAAATTATTTAAGAGTTTAAAATACTATTCAATTAGAAAATAGTATTAATAGAAACTTATATTACAATTAAACAATTTTTTTTAGATTAGGCTAAAAAGAATATATTAAGTAATAATTTGGCATTGGTTGAAAAAATTGAAGTTCAATATGAAAGCTCAAAAGTCTCTATTAATCATAATATTAATCTTAAATATAATTTATAGAAAATAGCAATAAAATATAGAAAACATTTTATTTTTAATTACTTACATCTCAAATAACTTTATCAATTTATTAGTATATCAACTCCTTTAATATTATGTTTAATACTCAAAATTTTCTTACATTTCCAAAATAAAAACTTAGCATCAAACCAAATAAAAAAGAACAACTACAGAACAATATAATAATGTGGATTAAAAAAAACTAGTAGTTAGATAGAACCCAATGCAGCTGAGACAATCAAAAAGCTATTTATTCATGATTTAACAAACATATACTATGGTATATAGATGCCTGTAACTATAATATATTTATCTAACAATACAATTACCAAAAGTTTTTGAGAGTTTCATAAGATACAACAATCTACCAGGCTATAAATTTGCTTACTTTAGATTTAATTCCAAAGAGCTTAATGAATATAGTGATTGCCTTCTTAAATATATTATTTGTTTATAGATATCAAGATTATTATTTTCAAAATTTTTTAAAAAGCCAGTAAGAGATATAACAAAAATCAGATAATTTTTTAAAAGGGAGGAGGTAAAAAATTTAAAATTATATATAAAGACCTGATCAAAATACATATTAAAAAAGTAGGAATAAACTTCTAATAAAAAAAATCAGGTGATAAATAACTCTACCTTAATGAAGCTAGATAAAGATCTTTTCAAATATGCTGAATATCTTATTCACAAATGTGCAGAAATGCCTCGAAATCAAGAACTTGATTATCCTATAGTTAATGAATATAATAATAGCTAGCTAAAAATCTTATTAGTAAATGTAAAATATATATCAAATAATATTTATAAAATACAAAAATCTTTTATTAGCCCTACAAGAAAAACAATATTAGCAACCAATTTTAGTTGATAACTTCTGCTTTTCGATATTATATATATAAGCATCTATATAAGTTATTTAATAAAAAAAACAAAATTTTTTTAAAACTCTTATTTTAAATATAATAAATAGGCAGAAACACCAATATATAACAAATTTAGATACTAAATTCATATTTAAAATCAGAGTTATGCTTATCATTATGACAATATATATAATACAATATATATCTAGTATATAAATGAAAATACAGCAGAAAAAGAAATTTCAAATGAATATTATAGAATTTGAGCAGAAATTAAAAAATAATTTTCAACTTATCATACATGCTGTATGTATAGAAAATATATAAATGTATATAAACTTCAACTAAATAAACAACCAAAAGCAAAGCTGAGAAGCATATACTAGTGTTGTATATAAACATTGTCTTATTAAAATTACAGAGACGTAGACAGTTCTAGACAGTGTTTCATGTCTCAGACAATATCTCATGTCTGTAATGGTGTTCTATGTTATATTGTTTATCAAAATATAATTGGCTAACAAGACTGTTCTTATTATAATTTTAATTGTCTAGGACAAAAAATGATCACAGATATGTTTGTGAACACCCTGTCCTGGACTGTTCACTATCTGCATCTGTGTCCCATGATAATATTGGCATATACAAGGAATTGACTAATAATGCATCAGTTACAGAAACAGTGAATCAAAAAGAAATAAATAAAAATGTGTTAAGTTAGCTTTTGAGCTAAATGATCTAAAAATAATTACTGATTTTAGAAAATTTAATAAAAGTAGACTAGGCAGGTATAATGAGTTTTGGGCTATAGATAAGAGTTTTTTAGAGAGTATTGCACAAGAAACTATAGTTGCTGTTGATGAAAGAAGATATAATCTGATTGTATACCTTGTACAGGCTATTTTAGTTTATAATATTTGTGATATAATAATACAAAAAGTGGGAAAAATTAATCTACAAGCACTAATTCTATCAACCCAGTAACTCCGCTTACAATTTTGGCTAACTACTTTAACAAATAAAAATAGTTTGCAGTATATGAGGATTTTACCTGTTAAATTTATGGTTCAGGTCTGTCAACTTTGTTATAAATATATTGATTTACATTACACATTAGTGTTATTCAAATATTTGAAAGAAATAACTATTATATTTCAAATGAGGCCTGATTTATTTTATATATGATAAACATTGCTATAAAATTGGTAAGCCAGAGCATCTAGTTGCAGCTGTAAAATGAGGAAAATGAATGCTTGTTAATCGCAACACAACATTTGCTGTAAGTGATTATAACTTTACAAAATATGAAATTATTCCAAGTGTTATGATATTGTGCAATATTCTATACTAAAAAAGTTTATATTAGATTGAAAGATTGCATATTTGAACTATCAAGTCTAATACAATATATCACAAGATTGCATAATATTTTAGAAAGATTTAATAATGACAAGCCTTATCTCTTTATATATACTGATGATAGGCCAGACCACCAAGTAAACTTTTTTTGTATACAATTTGCATTAATTGCAATTTTCTTAGCTCTTGATCTTGACTTTTTAGTCGCTATTCAAACACTTCTGAGATATTTATAGAAAAACTCTGTTAAGTGAATTATGTCTATTTTAAATCTTGGATTGCAGTGCATTAGCCTTATGAGAACTGAAATAAATGAAGAATTGGAAATTTTAATGAAAAGCTATAATATGATAGAGGAAATTTATAATAAAGCCAAAAAAACACCTTAGCTTAAAAGAGAAGTAATTAAAAGTTTGCAATCTACTAAAACTATGATACAAGATATTTTTAAATGACTAAAACTTAAGTTAAAAAATTTTTTTGCATTTGAATCTGCAACTGAACAAGATATAAAAAGTTTGTGAAAGTTAGTACTTGAAGTAGATGATTCATTGATACCTGAAAACACATTTAAGAAATATATTGAAAATAAGGTTAGTTTTAACTATTTAGCTACATATTTGTTAATGCAAAGCTTATTTGCTTAACACCAATAAAAGTTTTATATTTTTTGTTTTGCCTTTATCCAGATGTTTGTTTTTAGTATAGTAATTTAAAATTTTTTATCAATCTCTGTTAGTCAACAATTATATTGTTCTAATATAATACTATGATTAAAACTAAAAAAAAATGTAAAGGTATTAATTAAATTTAAAAAAAACAAAAAAAACAATAAAAAAAAGGCTCTATAAGCAATAG